TTCCATTTTAGCTTTATTATATTTACTATCTTATTATCTTCCATCATTTAGCGTTTATTATCTTAAAATGATTATATTGTATTATTGCTTTGTTTTTTATGAATTGTATTATTTGCATTGTGTTCTTTTTCCGTTACCTAAACAGATCTAAGAATTGTATTACATTAGTTGTGCTGTCTGTAGAAAAGAGACCGTAGTGTTTTCTCCCAAAATTTTATTGATTGCTCTTAGATTTTTCTGTAAATTAGAAAGTATATCAGTCTGAAAATGCTTTTGTTTGGTTCTTGATGTATTATAGGAGCAAAGCCAGCTGATCTGGGGAATTAAGGACAAGCTGAAGAAATTCTGCTCCATCAATGACATGAAGGAACTGCTTATTGCCAACGATCAGGAAGTTCCCTCTGGGGAGTCAAATGTAAGTGTGCAATACAGAAAAACTGTACTGATGTGCTGATTTGACCTCAAGCTCACTATCTGACTAGCATTTTCAATAGCAACATAAAAAGTCAGATACCAAGGAGAATCGTTTACTATTTACACTATTTTACTTTATGACTCTGTGTATCATTTCTCTAATGAAACTATGTGTGGCTGTTTAATTGACAGATCATAGACCGCCTTTCAGATTGCATGGCGTTTGGGTCCTTGAAGTCTTGTGAGACTTGCAAAGGGCAGCTTGTATTTAAGAGCGATGCATACTACTGTACTGGAGACATCTCTGCATGGACCAAATGTGTATTCAAGACTCAGACGCCTGATCGCAAAAACTGGGTCACTCCTAAGGTAAGTGCTGTAAATCTGTGGTAGTTGCATATTCACACATGCATGCAGGTGAATTTCAGCACCTACCATGGTCCTGCAAATGTTATTTTTCCTCAGGAGTTCAGTGAGATTCCATTCTTGAAGAAGTTTAAGTTTCAACGGCAGGACCGAGTGTTTCCCAAAGATGCCCCTCCTGCAGCCCCCACCCCCTCATCTGCTGCTGCTACTGTGAGCTCAGCCGCCCCGAGCGCGTCTACTACCGCCAGTAATAACCTCACTAAGGTGCCTGCAGGTCAGTGACTCTGATAGAAGCCTTGAGAAATACTCAGGTTTATTTAGTGGTCAGTCATTTTAAGTTTTTGAACAGCGGATACTAGGGCTGGGCGATATAGCTAAAAAAATAATCAGCGATATAATATTTCATATTGTTCGGTATCGATAATTATTGACATT